TAATTTTTGTATTTTTAGTAGAGACGGGGTTTCACCATGTTGACCAGATGGTCTCGATCTCTTGACCTCGCGATCCACCCGCCTCGGCCTCCCAAAGTGCTGGGATTATAGGCGTGAGCCACCGCGCCCGGCCTTCCAAATTTTTTATTTATTTATTTATTTATTTATTTATTTATTTTGTAGAGACAGGGTTTCACCATGGTCTCCATCTCTTGACCTCGTGATCCACCCACCTCAGCCTCCCAAAGTGCTGGGATGCTGGGATTACAGGCGTGACGTGAGCCACCGCGCCCGGCCCTTTTTTTTTTTTTTTTTTGAGAGACTCTTTCTCTGTCACCCAGGCTGGAGGGCAGTGGTGCAATCTGGGCTCACTGCAGCCTCCGCTTCCTGGGATCAGGCAATTCTCCTGCCTCGCCCTCCCAAGTAGGTGGGACCAGAGGTGTGCACCACCGCGGTGGGCTAACTTTTTCTATTTTTTGTAGAGACAGGGTCTCCCTATGTTGCCCAGACCTGTCTCGAACTTACGGGCTCCAGTGATCCTCCCATCTTGGCCTCCCAAAGTATTGGGATTACAGGCGTGGGCCACCGGCCTTGCCTCCTATAAATGTTATTTACCAAACTGTTCCCTCTAATTGCCGTGCTCCTCCCCTAGTTTTCACAAGCTTGGCTTCATGTCACTAATCTCAACTCAAACGTAACCTTCTCAGGACACCCCTGACAATCCAATAAAAGATCACCTAGTCACTACTGCATCACACTTTTAATCTTCTGAAGAACTTTTTTCCCTATTTTTCTTGTTTGTTTTCTTAAGACTCCCCTGCAGCGCCATCAGTTCAGGAAGTCACTTGATTGTGGTCACCGCTCTACGCCAGAGCATGAGAAGGACCCTACCCGTTCAATCAATGCATGCGGAATGAATGAACGCCTCCAGCGAAGAAGACTCCAATGACGCAGGACGGGATTTGCGGAGCGCGAGCCCCGCACCGCGAGGCATGCTGGGGATTGTAGTTTCTCCGGGCCGCCGTGACTCGATCCGCACACTGACGCAGTCCGCTCCCGGAGGACGGAGCGGCCCGGTCGCCGGCATGGTGTTTCCGTCCTGCTGCGGCCGGCGGGAGGCAATCCGGCCAGGCGCCCGTTAGCTACGGCGGCGACCCAGACGGGGAAAGTGGAAGGAATGCCGCGTGGTGGGTCCGGGTCGGCGGTGCAGGGAGCCCCGGGGCGGAATGCGGGGGATGCCAGGACCTCCGGAAGGAGGTGTCGGAGCCCAGGATGCGTTTTCTTTCCCGTTTACCGAGTATAACTTATTTCTCCAGACCCTCTCCCGCTGCTTTGAGCAAGGGGTGCTGATCTCTTTTTACAGTAGTTTAGCTAACTCGGAGAAGCTAAGTGGTTTGCTAAGTGGTCTCCCCGCTATTAGGTGGCAGAGCCTGACCTAGAACTCGGGCCTGACTCGAGGTCCGGTGATTGCTCTTTGCAGTCGCAGCGGCAGCCCCATACCTTTGCTTGATCACAGATTCGTCAGGCTGTAGCCAGGGTGGCTGGACGTTAGGCCCTGCCCAGGGACCTAGCTCCCAGCCCCACTCATTGTCATAGAGTGCTTGCCCCGCTCAGTGCCACACTGCACAGCCCTCCCTGGATGAGATTCTGAGTGAGGTCATAAAGAGAGAGCGTTCCACTCCCTTTAACTCAGGGTCTGAAAATAAGGGATAGGGAAGACAGTACACTAATACGATATCAGGGCATGTTGAAATCAACAGAGAGTACTTTCAGTGGAGTGTGATTTTGGTAGTCTTGTTTCATCTGTAGTTTAATAGATGTGGAAACAGGTTCAGAGACATTAACTCTTCTAGGTTTACATAGTTAGGGGTGGAGTGGGGAGTGGAATTAAGTTTCTCTATCTTCAAAACCTATGTACTTTATATCCTACTGGTTGCCCGGCCTCATTTCCTAAATTTCTACTTACATAACAGCTGCATGGTTCTCAGAGTGTGGGTCCCTGACCAGCAGCATCAGCATCACCTGGGAACATGTTCAAAATGCACTTTATCAGGCCGGGCCATGCCTGTAATCCCAGCACTTTGGGAGGCCCAGGCGGGTGGATCACCTGAGAACAGGAGTTCGAGACCAGACTGGCCAACATGGCAAAACCCCATCTCTACTAAAAATAAAAAAGTAGCCGGTTATGGTGGCAGACGCCAGTAATCCCAGCTACTCCGGAGGCTGAGGCAGGAGAATTGTTTGAACCCAGGAGGTGCAGGTTGCGGTGAACTGAGATCACGCCAGCCTGGGGAACGACAGCGAAATTCCATCTCAAAAAAACAAAAATGTACTTTATCTCTGGGCCCCACTTCAGACCACCTGAGTCAAACTGGAAGTGGGTCCCAGCAAGCTGAGATAACAAGCCCCTCAGGTGATTCTGATACACAATAATGTTTGAGAGCTGTTGGTGTCAGCCAGTGACTCTCAAACCTTAATGTGTACCTAATTCACGTAGGGGGTCATGTTAAAATGAAGAGTCTGTTTCCAGCCAGTGTGGAAGAATGGCAGTGAGCCACTCAGTGAAGGAGTGGATCATCTCTGAGAACAGGCCTGGGGAGAGACCTGAGATTATGCATTTCTAACCAGGACCCCTCAGCACATTGGAGTTACCTGGGGACCTTTTACAAAACCTGGGCCCCACCCCCCCAACCAAATAAATCAGAATCTCTGTGTTGGGGAGGTCAGGTTAAAAACTGGCCAGGTGATTATAATGTACATCTGGTGTGAGGTTTGGAGCCAGGTGGCTATGGATTTTTTTTTTCTTTTCTTTTTTTAAAGAGAGTCTGGCCCTGTCACCCAGGGCGGAGTGCAGTGGTGTGAACTTGTGATCTTGGCCCACTGCAGCCTCCACCTCCTGGATTCAAGCGATTCTCCTGCCTCAGCCGCCTGAGTAGCTGGGATTACAGGTGCGCACCATCATGCCTGGCTAATTTTTGTATTTTTAGTACAGACAGGATTTCACCATATTGGCCAGGCTGGTCCCGAACTCCTTCCTGGCCTCAAGCAATCCAACCGCCTAGGCCACCCAAGGTGCTGGGATTACAAGCGTCAGCCACCACGGCCAGCCTGCGGCTATAGATTTGAATTCCAGCAATTCCATTTATCTACTGTGACCTTCGGCAAGTTACCTCTCCTAGCCATATTTTTCTTTTTAAAAAATGATTTTTTAAAATTAATGTATTATTAGGAATGATACTTTTGTTGTTAGTCCTAATAATTTGTCTTGAATTCTCAGTGTAGACAATCATATAATTGACAAACAAGGACTGTGATCTTCCTTTATAATTATTGTTTCTGTAAATTATTTCCCTTTCTTTCTGTGATCATTTTTTTTTTTTTTTTGAGATGGAGTTTCGCTCTTGTTACCCAGGCTGGAGTGCAATGGCGCGATCTCGGCTCACCGCTACCTCCGCCTCCTGGGTTCAGGCAATTCTCCTGCCTCAGCCTCCTGAGTAGCTGGGATTACAGGCATGCACCACCATGCCCAGCTAATTTTTTGTAGTTTTAGTAGAGACGGGGTTTCACCATGTTGACCAGGATGGTCTCGATCTCTTGACCTCGTGATCCACCCGCCTCGGCCTCTCAGAGTGCTGGGATTATAGGCGTAAGCCACCGCGCCCGGCCTCTGTGATCATTTTTTGAACATTGTATTGAACATTACCTACATTTTACTGTTGATTAGAAGCCATAAAAGTAGGCATCCTTGGCTGGGCACCGTGGCTCACACCTGTAATCCCAGCACTTTGGGAGGCCAAGGTAGGCGGGTCATGAGGTTAAGAGATCGAGACCATCCTGGCCAACACGGTGAAACCCTGTCTCTACTCAAAATACAAAAATTTGGCTGGGTGCTGTGGCTCATGTCTGTAATCCCCATACTTTGGGAGGCCGAGGCGGGTGGATCACAAGATCAAGAGATCGAGGCCATCCTGGCCAACAGGGTGAAATGCCATTTTTACTAAAAATACAAAAATTAGCCAGGTGTGGTCCCAACTACTCAGGAGGCTGTGGCAAGAGAATCCCTTGAACCTAGGAGGCAGAGGTCGCAGTAAACCAGGATCACGCCACTGTACTCCAACCTGGCAACAGAGTAAGACTCCGTCTCAAAAAAAAAAAAAAAAAAAAAAAGTAGGCATCTGTTGTCCTTGACTCAATAGAAATGCTCACCATTTTCTTGTAGGTTTCTTTAAAAAAAATTAGAGATGGGGTCTCACTATGTTGCCCAGGCTGGTCAGCAGAGCTCTTGGGCTCAAGTGAAGCTCCTGCCTTAGTCTCCTGGGTAGCTAGGACTACAGTTGTGTGCCACTGCACCTGGCCAGCCTAGCCATATTTTTCTCCTTCATAAAATGAGTATAAGTAATCCTTGGCTTGCAAGTTGGTGTCAGGATTTTGTGAGACATGTAGGGGCACCATCTGTGTCCACAGATACAAAAATTGCAGAGGTGGTCCGTGCTGGGAATTTTGTTTGAGAACCTAGAAGAGGTGAGTTGGCAACTGTACCCCCTACCCTGCTGTAGTTGCCATCTGTGTGCTCTTGTCCACAGCAAGCAGACAGCCAGTGTGGAAGAATGGCGGTGAGCCACTCAGTAAAGGAGCGGACCATCTCTGAGAACAGCCTGATCATCCTACTGCAGGGCCTCCAGGGCCGGGTAACCACAGTGGACCTGCGGGATGAGAGTGTGGCCCACGGACGCATAGACAATGTCGATGCTTTCATGAACATCCGCCTAGCCGAAGTCACCTACACGGACCGTTGGGGGCATCAGGTCAAGCTGGATGACCTCTTTGTGACAGGCCGCAATGTCCGTTACGTCCACATCCCAGATGATGTGAACATCACCTCCACCATTGAGCAGCAGCTGCAGATTATCCATCGTGTGCGGAACTTTGGTGGCAAGGGCCAAGGCCGGTGGGAATTTCCCTCCAAAAACTCTAAGTGACGCCCTCAGCAAGCCTGGCCCCAACTCAGGTTCCTCTGGAGCCAGCTCTCTGCCCTCACACCCTGTCCGGAACCTGAGAAGAGAGCAGGGCCGGCCCAGAAGCTGGTGTCCAACAGACACCACCTGTCAAAGCTGCCTTTCACAGGGCTCCACCTCCCAGACTCAGTCTGGGACCCAGAATCCTGTCTATCTGTGGCCTTGGGGTAGGTGACAATCCCCCTTTTTGATGATCTGAATCTCTGACTTCTTGATTATGTAATCTGTCAAGTAGTTTTCAGTTCTCTCAGTGAGGATAATTAAAGGTGCTCAGCCTGAGCCACCTCTAAGTGTCTCCATTTCTCTTGCAATTGTGTTCATTTTCTCATAAAACCAAACTTGGATACAAATAGGCCCGTGCCTCAGGCTTTCCCCTCCGTGTGCTGGGCTCCCAGATGGTCCTGTGTAGTAGGGGCAGACTTAAGCTTGGCTGCACATTGGAATCACCTGTCGCACCCTGAGAGGTTCATATTTCATTGGTATGGGGTATGTCTGAGGGCTAGGAGTTTTTTTAATTTCCCAGGTGATTCTAATATGTAGCAAAGCTTGGAAATTATAGGAGAGTACTTCAGTCTGGTCAGGAGGAAAGTGGCTTTCCTGTTCAGAGTCCCTGTTGAAGAGGTTGTCTCTTTTTTTTGTTTTGTTTTTCTTTATTCTTTATAGTAATGTGAATTTTTTTTCTTTTTTTCTTTTTTTGTTTTCCTTTATAGTAGTGTGAAAGAGGCTGTTAGTCTCATTGCTGTTTCCTGAAGCAGACAGGTTGGAGGCTCCTGGGCCCTCCCCTGGGGTGTGGGAGCTCAGCCAATAGCAGGAATTCCATCACTGATCCGAGAGTTACTGAGTTATCAGAGTTAGAACCCAAGTCCTTGTGGCAGCTGCCTTATCATCATTCTAGGCCTGCCACAGGCAAATAACCATCTTAGGGAAAGTGGCTCACTTGAGGTCAGGAGTTCGAGACCAGCCTGGCCAACATGGTGAAACCCCATCTCTACTAAAAATACAAAAAAAATTAGCCAGGCGTCGTGGTACACACCTGTAATCCCAGCTCCTCAGAAAGCTGAGGCGGGAGAATTGCTTGAATTGAACCCAGGTGGTGGAGGTTGCAGTGAGCTGAGATCGTGCCATTGCACTGGAGCCTGGGTGACAGAGGGAGATTGCATCTCCAAAAAAAAAAAAAAGTGACTTTGTCCTGTGGAACCAGAGAGTTTGTGTTCATCAGATATTCACAGCACACCTGCCATGTGCCAAGGCCTTCTGCTAAGCACCTATCATCTTTTTTTTTTTTTTAATAGAGACGAAGTCTCACCGTGTTGCCCAGGCTGGTCTTGAATTCCTGGGCTCAAACCATACTCCCATCTCAGCCTTCATGAGTGCTAGGATTACAGGCATGAGCCACCATGTCTGGCCAAGCACACACTATCAAGTGAGATTTGAATCTTTTTGTACAGGAGCTTACACCATAGTGGGGTAGGTGGTCAAAGAAAGATGAGGCTGGGCACACTGGCCCACACCTGTAATCCCAGCATTTGGGGAGGCTGAGGCTGACAGATCACTTGAGGCCACGAGTTTGAGACCAGAATAGCCAACATGGTGAAACCCTGTCTCTACTAAAAATAGAAAAATTAGCTGGGTGTGGTGGTGTGTGCCTGCAATCCTAGATACCTGGGAGGTGGAGGCATGAGAATTGCTTCAACCCAGGAGACAGAGGTTGCAGTGAGCCGAGAGCACGCCATGGCACTCCAGCCTCGGCAACAGAGCGAGACTCTGTCTCAAAAAAAAAAAAAAAAAAAACAGGCCAGGCATGGTGGCTCATACCTGTAATCCCAGCACTTTGGGAGGCTGAGGCAGGTGGATCATGAGGTAAAGAGTTTGAGACCACCCTGGCCAACATGGTGAAACCCCGTCTCTACCAAAAATAAAAAAATTAGTTGGGCATGGTGGCACATGCCTGTAGTTCCCAGCTACTCGGGAGGCTGAGGCAGAGAAGCGCTTCAACCGGGTAGGTAGAGATTGCAGGAAGCCAAGATCGTGCCACTGCACTCCAGCCTGGTGACAGAGTGAGACTCCATCTCAAAAAAAAAAAAAAAAAAAACAGATTAAATCCAGGTTGAGAACTGCTGTAGCAGAGTTTTGCATAAAGGAGGGCCCCTGACTTTGTGATGCTCTCATTTCTTGAGGGAGATTTGAGAGGAATGTTCATTTGGACATTAGCGGCCTAAGGACACGGCATTCACATTCTAGTTCAGTCTTTGTCAGTACTGTCTGCAGACCACCTCCTCAGGACCAGGTGGCATGTGTGTAGGAAATGCACTTTCCTGGCTCCTCCTTACCCAGACTAGGACCCAGGAATTTCATTCACATTCACCATCCATCATGATTCTTTTGCATACTATATTTATTTTATTGCCTACAGGTCTAGAAACCCTTAACTCTGCCCTTTGCCTTCAGGGAGAACAGACGGTCCTAGCAGGGAGAATTTCTGAGTTTCCTGGCCCCTCTGACAACTGGAGTTAAGAAGACTGACTGATCCTCGGTAGCATAGTGAAGAAAGAGGACTGACTGATACCACAACGTGACTACTGGAAAGAGAAACAGAAGGCAGGCACGGAGGGAAGCCTTCACTGTGGAAACGTCACCATACCCTCGCAAGTGGGGAGACAGACGAGGAACTGGTAGAGTCCCCACAGCAGCTTCCCTTGCAGACCTCTCCCACATGTGTGCCATGTGTGAGAAACTGAAGAGGGCTTAGCTGGGGATTCGGCTTAGGGATGCAGGCAAGGTCTAGCTCCCAGGCTGTGAGGCACACCAGGGGCTTCTCTGTCCTCAGCAGAGCAGCAGGGGAAGCAGGAAGGCTAGTGTGAGCTGCTGAGAAGAGAGGCTCTGGACATGTTCCTTAAGTGTCGTGTGCCAGACCCCCATGGCCGTCTGTCATTCCCAGGCAAGGTCTTGGGAATACAGATGAGAATGGAGGGAAGCAGGCCTTGCAGAGACACATTTTTGCCAATCCCCTGGGTTAGAGCACAGCTGAGTCTTCAAACCCCAAGGATGGGTCTTTGGTAATCTGGTCTCGGCTTGCTGGAAAAGGCTGTCGGGGGCCCAGGAAGGAGTTGAGGAGCCCAGTGCCCACCAGCCTGTGGGAAGCCAGGAACTCCCCACTGCCACTGGTCGGCCATTCCACAGGTCATTCTCGAGCACCAGCTGTGTACCAGGCACAGTGGTAGCAACTGGGGAACGTCAAGAGGAACAAGGGTCTTGCTCAGGAAGTGAACATTCTGATGAAGGAAACAGATACACTAAAAAGTAAAAATATTTACAGAGACCCTGACAGAAATAAACAGAACCCTTTGAGAGACAATTAACAGGTAGTTTTATTTTGAAAAATGTAGTCCGAGGAAGTGAAATTTTTGTTTTGTTTTTTTGTTCAGTCTTAAGGTTATACCTGAAGGAAGTGAATTTTTTTTTTTTTTTAAGACATAGGGTCTTGCTCTGTCGCTCAGGCTAGAGAGCAGTGGTGCGATCATAGCTCACTGTAGCTTTGAACTCCCGGGCTCAAGCCTCAGCCTCCCAAGTAGCTGGAACTATAAGGTGCATGCCACTGCACTGTCTGAATTTCATAACTCTTTTTTCTTGTCTTTTTTTTTTTCTTTTTTTTTTTTGAGATGGAGTGGCCTGGATCTCAGTTTACTGCAACCTCCACCTCCCGGGTTCAAGTGATTCTCCTGCCTCAGCCTCCCGAGTAGCTGGGACTATAGGTGTGTGCCACCACGCCCAGCTAATTTTTTGTATTTTTAGTAAAGATGGGGTTTCACTGTGTTAGCCAGGATGGTCTCAATCCCCTGACCTCGTGATCCACCTGCCTCGGCCTCCTAAAGTGCTAGGATTACTGGCGTGCACTACCACGCCTGCCAAGTTTTTTTTTTTTAAGAGACAGGGTATCGCTATGTTGTCCAGGCTGGTCTCAAACTTCTGTCCTCAAGCAATTCTCCTGCCTTGCTTGGCCCCAGTCACTGGGATTCAGGGCTTGAGCCACCCCACCGAGCAGGGAAGTAGTAAAACTCAGACGGAGCCTGTCATTTAAAGAGCCAGGACAAGGCAGAGGAAACTGCCCGTGCAAAGGTCCTGGGATGGGAAAGCTTGGGGTTTTGCGACAATAATAGTGACACTGTGGCTACTGGGGGAGAGAGAGGCAAATGAGGGTGGAGAAATGGGAGGGGGTGGGACACATACATAAGGCCTGTGGGCAGAGTATAGCTGGTTCCAGTTTCTGGTGTGTAGGAAACAGAACTTGAATTTTCTTGAACTCACTTGAATTCCTGTATTTTGCCCCACTTAACCAGAGTGGCAGAAACTTAATTACAGCCAATTCACAGTTCCCCCATTTTCCTTGGCATTATGTTGGAATTCTAGGGCTCTTCCCTTCATGGTGCTAAAGCATGGGAAGGATAGTCTGGGTGGTCATCCAGTCACACTAGCGTCCACTGAGCTGTTCTCATTTGGTTGTGACCTTTTGTCATCAGCCCGTGAAGGTTGCTGCTGAGTTGCTTCCCATCCCCCCACCAAAAGACTCCTCCAAGTACAACGCATACCCCGTTTTGTTTTGCCTTTCTGCTTTTCCCAGGCCATGTTAGGTCTAGGAAATTCTTTTTTTTGCAGGGGGAGGACAGAGTCTTGCTCTCTCCCCCAGGCTAGAGTGCAGTGGCACGATCTCGGCTCACTGCAACCACCGCCTCCCCGGTGCAAGCGATTCTCCTGCCTCAGTCTCCTGAGTAGCTGGGATTACAGGTGCCTGCCACCATGCCTGGCTAATTTTTGTATTTTTAGTAGAGATAGTGTTTCACCATTTTGGCCAGGCTGGTCTCGAACTCCTGACCTTGTGATCCACCCGCCTCAGCCTCCCAAAGTGCTGGGATTACAGCTGTGAGCCACGTGCCCGGCCTGGAAATTCTTGAGTCTTAGGTGAGTTACGCCCTGTTTGTCCATCCAAAATGCAGCACACAGCCATTTCTCCAGATGGTTTTGTTACCTCCCTGGTGCCCCACCCAGGGAAAAGAACACAGCTCTTCTCTGCTTCAGTTCCGTGGACCCAGATGATAACCCCAGTTACAAGACTGAGGAGAAGCCTCTCTCTTCTCAGGGATGCCCCCTCCTCACTCTCAGTCTCCCAGATCCCCCTGTTTTACAGTTTCTAAATTTGTACCTGCACAGAAATTCTGTCCATTCCTCCCTGAAAGCTAAGCTTTTGGAATTCAGGAGCTAAAAATGAACTCTGCATTCTGTTG